AAAAGAAAAAAAGAGAGATAAAGAAGAAGAAGAAGAAGAAGAAGAAAAAAACAAGATAAAAGAAGAAAGACATACGGTAAAGAGTATATAGAAGGCCAAACAGATCGTCATCGAGCAGATGCAATTCTGACTGAATACCATAACTGACAAGGCTCGGCATACTGTCTCTCCATAATTTAGAGACAAGATGTGCTGGTTAATGACATCCCTCAGGCTGCATTCATCGTCTCCATATTGTTGCAACAAGATGGCTGTTCTATGCAAGTCGTTGCATAGCTGACAGACGAAGAGTATTAATACAACGTCGCATGCCAATGTATTCGTGACCGCTAATAAGGTCAATATAATCTCACTGACATATATCAGCTGATACCTTCGAAATATAACGTTGAAATTTATTTGTTCATCTTCTTTTTTTTCTTTCTTTCTTTCTTTCTTTCTTTTTTTTTCTATTCATATCATATACTCATATTTAATTCAATTATCTTATATTATACATGATGTAAATAATATTTATTTATTGATATTTTTTACTTGATATATGAAATATGTATGATTAAATAAACGTATGATTAAAATTTAAATATGTATGATTAAAAAAAATTTCTTTTTCATACGTACAAATCTATTACGTTTAATATTTATTTATTTATTTATTTATTTATTTATTTTTCTATATAATATAGTGGCGTTGAATTAATTGATAAAATATATGATCAAAATAATAAAAATGTAAGAACAAGGCATTGTTCGTAAAGCTTGTTTCTTAGAAAGAGACCGTGTGTCTTTGCCTTTTGTTCCACTTTTAAGATTTAATTTTCGAATTGAACTCTCTAGACTCGAATTTTGTGACAGGAATTCACAATGCTCTACTAAACTCATCGAATGGCAACTCGACAATGCATCAAAGTCCAAAACTCAATACAAAAGGATATATCGAACAATGGAACATGTGTTGGATCTAATCGAAGTCTTTATGGACTTCCTTCTAGTTTCTAACATTACAGTTTAAAGTATTATAAATGTTTTATAATAAAAAAGTTTTTTTTTCTTTTTAATATTTTCACTTTTATTAAGTTTGCGTATAAAGTCAAACTGTTACATCAAAAAGAGAAGTATGAAGGATAAAAAAAAAAAAAAGGAAAAAAGAGAGAGAGAGAGAGAGAGAGAAATACAAGTGGCAAAAGTTAATGAAACGAGCAATATTAAAATTCAATTATAATTATCGTAAATTAAATTAAAAGAAATCTTTTGCTTATTATTAAGATTAAAAATACATACCAAGGATCTTGAAAGAAAATCGATGGAAAATTTCCTTGAAAAGGTAAATTCCTTCCTGACAGACACAACGGTGATATTATATAAGTGATAGTTAATATAAAATAACCAACTGTGAGAAATTTTGTTGCCATTTCTCGTCTGGCTAACCAATGATCAACCATCTTTCCTCTTTCCATTTTGACCAATAACAATAATATAGTATCTCTGTGTAAAAAAAAAAAAAAAAAAAAAAAAAAAGAAAGAAAGAAGAAAGTAGAAAAAGAAAAAAATATTAAAAACGAAAATTTTAATTAATAAATTTAAATAAAAATTTATAATTTTTTCGAATAGTAACAATCATGCCATTAATAAATTCATATAATGAATGAATTTAATTAGAAAAAAAAAAAAAAATAAAATAAAATAAAACAGAAAATAATAAAAAAAGAAGTAAATAAAATGAAAACGAACCTTTTCAAATTAAATGACAAACATTTGGATAACATCAATGACCATCCAACGACATTAACCAAAGATCTGTCCGTTGATTTCCACGAACAAATAAAACAATGAAAAGAAGGATCATTAAGTTTCACGATATGAGATATGATAAGATAAACGTTTTTTAATTAATCTTAAAGTGAAAGGAAGTCAGTAATAAATTCTCCTAATAAAAAAAGACAACTCATTATGAGTTGTACTATACACATATACGTATGTGTGTGCGCGTGTATACATATATATATTCCGCTATCTTTTGCTAGAAAATGATTGCTACAAGTATCAAAAAATGATTAAAACAAAAAAAAAAATAAATAATAATAATAAAAAATTAAAAAAAAATTGTCTTTCAACAACGTCATACTAAGTACTATATAATGCTTAATTCTCAATAAACAATAGCACTCACTCTATAAAAACAATAGTATCATCAATAAGAGTTATTTGTATAAATATTACAAAACTCGTACCGAGAAAAATAAAAAACAAGGCGATAAATCCCTTCAATCGAGATAATGTATAATCATTGAAATTGTCACTGGGCCAAAAGCCAATAATTCGAAGAATAAATTTATTGGACTTCAAAATTTCTTCGACTTCTATCATAACACTTTTTATCTTCATTTTTATAATTATTATTATTATTATTATTATTATTATTATTATTATTATTATTATTATTATTATTATTATTATTATTATTATTATTATTATTATTGTAAATATCGTGCACGTTCGTTCGATCATAAGACAACTGACACTAATTCAATTCTCCGTTTTCTTTTCATCCTCTATCCAAGCTCATTTTAAATTCCTTTTGAATCGCGTTCACGGAAAAGAAATGAAAAGGGAGAAGTAGCAGAAAAAAAAAATAAAAAAATGAACAAATAAAGAAAGAAAGGAAGAAAGAAAGAAATAATAATAATAATAATAATAATAATAATAATAATAATAATGAGTAAAAGAAAGTAGAAAATTTTCTTATCCCTACAATCGATATAATAATCGAGTATACATTATTTATTTATTCGATCTATCATAGCGAACGAATGATTACAGGTGAGGGAAAAAGAAAAAAATTAATCTTTTTCTTTCTTATAGATCATCTATACACAAGTAATTGTCTATGTATTACAACGTGAAGAAGCGAAGTTAAATGTTTTCGATAAATAATGCAAATGTATCTCTCTACATAGAACGTAATAATTCTCATTTGATATTCCTTAGGGACGGATGGAAAACACTTCCGTTTCCATTTTATCGCAACCGTTTGTTCGCCGCTTTTGCATTTTTTAAAGAAGATAACGATAAAGAAAGAAAAGAAGAGAAAAGAAAGGAATCAAAAAAAAAGAAGAAGAAGAAGAAGAAGAAGAAGAAGAAAAAAGACGAGGAAAAAAAGAAGAAAAGAAGAAATGGACAGGAATTTTACACCAACGTTATAAACATAATTTAAGATTATAAAAAGATTGAACGTTGAATAATTCCTTTGGCGTGTTAATTATAAATGTAATATAAAATATGAAAAAAAAATTGAATGGAAGGAAGGAACGATATGATTTTTATTTATTATTTAAAATAAACGAACTTTTGCGGAATAAATTCTTTTTCATTTACGACGATATTGTTTTTGCCTTTCTATTTTTTCTATTCCTTTTCTTTTTCTTTCTTTTTTCGTTTCGGAAGAATTCGTGAACTTTTCGAATGGAAAAAAAAAAGAAAAAAAAAAAAAAAAGAAAAAAGAGAAAAATAATATCGTACAACAAACAGGACGTAAATAATTGATTCATAATTGTTCTTCTTAACGAAGGATCGATATAACTTTTGATAAATTTACGAGTGTACCTATCAAATTTCCTAACGAACGAGGTACAAGGAGAGAGAGAGAGAGAGAGGGAGAGAGAGAGAGAGAGAGAGAGAAAAGAAGAAAAACAAAAAAAAAGAAGAAGAAGAAGAAGAAGAAGAACAAAAAATACTGCGAGGGAGAGAGAGAGAAAGAGAGAGAAAAATATAGGAAGCTTCTCGACCATTCCCGTTTGCTCCGGTTTCACCTTTTTCATTTCTTTTTTCCACATATTCAGCCGTACGGATATATGGATGTAAAAGGTAGGTGAGTGAGAAAAAGAATATATATATATATATATACTCACATATACATATATACATAATCCCTCTTGACCCTCTCCCACATCCCTTGGAGCGAATTCACTCTTGTTTACTTTTCACTACTGCGGAAATCTGACACGCGATTCGTATTGTTGTAAATTCAAACAGAGAGAGAGAGGAAGAGAGAGAGAGAGAGAGAGAGAGGGAGAGAGAAACGTGATTATAAATAATAACTGTAAGTAATTGTAATGCGTTCGTTATACTTTTTATTTTATAAATGAAAAAAAAAAAAAAGAAAAGAAGAAAAAAGCATGATATGGGTGTAAAAATGGGGAAGATAAAGGACCAAAAGAAAAAGATATAAAAAAAAAAAAAAATAACAAAAATGAAAAATAAAAAAAAATTTCTCTCGACGACACGTCTGAGTAAGTCCCATCCTTACAAAAATTCTTTTCTGTTTGTCTTTTTTTTTTCTTTTTTTTTTTTTTTTTTTCTTTTTTTTTTTTTTTTTTTTTTTCCTTTTTATTTTCTTCTTCTTCTCGGAAATTACAATCGTACGAACGCGTTTGAAAAACTCGTAGAAATGTATTTGTAAAAAAATTCGAATGACCATTGACAAAGGATATAATAAGCGTTAAAAATAAAACGATAGAATTTCGACGAAAAATGTTATTATGAATGATTGCAAATAATTCGTCAAGTGTGCAGTTTGCTTTTTTTTTTCTTTTTCTCTCTTTTTTCTTTTTTTTTCTTTGTAAAAGGAGAAATAAAAAAAAGAAAAGGGGGAGAAGAAATTGAGAACGGAAGAATGAAAACAAACTCTTGAAAATCGTCGAGAAGATCGATGAGAAATGGAGTAAGATAAGGAAAAAAAAAAAAAAGAATGAAAGAAAAAAAAGAGAAAAAGAAAAGAGAGAGAGAGAGAGAGAGAAAGAGAGAGAAAGAGAAAGAGAAAGAGAGAGAAGAGAAGATAGAGAAGACTGTAAGATGAAATATGACGAAGTAAAGTTAGCGAGTTTCTCGAAAGATTTATTATAGTAACCCTCGTGAATTTTTGTCTGACATGAAAACGTGACGATTTTCACAAGAATCGTCCCATTCATTTTTAATCGTGGAATTTGTTTTACGTTACTTCTTCCTCTTCTTCTACTTCTTTCTTTTCTTTTTCTTTTCTTTTCTTCTAAAAAGAAAAAAAAAAGAAGAAGAGAGACCTCACAGAAAGTCGATCGTTCCACACACACCACCACCCGCCCCCCCCACAAGAAGATTTATTGCTTCAATTATAAAATTAATAATGAATGTAAACTCATTTGTCACGTTTCTCATTCTCTTTGTAATTAATTCGTTTGTAAAATGTTGTAAAAAAAAAAAAAATAAGGACTTTTTTTTTTTTTTTTTTTTTTTTTTCTTTTTTTTTTTTTTCTTTATATACGAGCAAAGAGTTTTTGTAAATTATTTGCAGTCATTCGATATATTACAAAATATTACAAATCATAGATGATACTAATACGATAAAGAAAAAAAGAAATTAATTCTAATTTCTATTAATACGCTCGAATAATGTCATAAATTATCGACTATCTGACGTCAAAGAAAAATGAATTCTAATTCTTTTTTTTTTTTCTTTTTTTTCTATCATCATTAGAAATACATGTATGCGTGTATACAAATATATGTGAAAAATATTTTAATAAATGGAGAAAAAGTTTGGGCGCAATTAAGAGAAAGAAAAAAAGAAGTAAAAAAAAATTAAAAGTCTATAAAGTATCATCAAAAAGGAAATGGCATATGATTTTCTCTCGAAAAATATTGTATTACTAAACACGTAGTTGACCTAGATTTAGGTACACGTTCCACTTTCGTCTAGGCAAAGTGTTCTTCGTTTCTTTAAATAAAAGTCACACACGAATAGAAAACATAGGGCATACGTTTAATGAAATTTCCTTTGTCCTTTTTCTTTTTCCTCTCGAAAATTTCATTTAAACAAAGCATAGGGATACGAATGGTGATCATTGTATTAATTAATGTAATTTTTAACATAACTGGAAACTATCTAAATATATATATATATATATATATATATATATATAGCCTTTGTCTTTTTTTTTCTTCTCCTTCTATTTCCTTTTGAAAAGAATGAAACGATGCATTAAACTTTCAACAATTAACATATAATTATTAATAATTTATTTTGTTTAATCTTCCTGTATTATAATCATTCGAATATTTCAATACAATATCAATATGATATTTAATTAAATGTTTAAGTAAATATAGTTATAAAGAACGTTCCATGAATACTTAAATATGTTATTACTTTATTCTTAAAAATAAAGGAAAAAAAAAAAAATATATATATATATATATATATGTATAAATAATCTAATGTATTGATATCCAATAAAAATTGACATTTAAAATAAAAATAAAACTGATGTGTTGAAAGAAAAGAAAAACAGAAAATAAATAAATAAATAAAAATGAAAGAGAGAGAAGAAAATGATATCAAAATCTCCGAATAAAAAAACTTATTTACAAGTAAGTTTTTACTTAATAGTTTAGAAAAAAGGAAAGGACAGCGAATGGATCATTCTAGTTTTCAACGATCTAGAACTTTAGTTACTTCCGTTGTTAAAGAGTATCCCAGCTTACGACCTTTTGCAATTAAACTCACTTCCGACCTTAAGCACCGGACAACCCTTCGCGAGTCCTTCGTAAACATGAGACCCGACCGACGATGTCGCTTACTTGAGAAACCGGTGCTTCAGTAAATTAAAAGCAATTAAAACTTGACTTTTTTTTTTGTTTTTTCTTTTTTTTTTTTACATACTGTGTTTCTAACATGTTAGAGAGAGAGATAGAGAGAGAGAGAGAGAAAGAGAAATATCTCTCTAACATGCATACATACATACATACACGAATACATAGTTGTACGTATGTACAATATACGTACATATATATATATATATATATTTATGTATAGATATCCTAAAGGCAATGTAACTCTTTCTTTCATAGCGTCGAAATGGAGAGAAAAAGGAAAAGAAAAAAAGAAAAAAAGAAGCGAGGTCAGACGAAAAAAAATTTTCAAACATAAAGTGACGACAATGATATTAGACGTTCTTCTCGACTGTATAACAAACGATCGTCAAACTTTTTGATGCGTAAGAAAAACGAGAAAAAAAAAAAGAAAAAAGAAAAAAAAGAAGAAAGAATGAAAGAATGAAACAAAAGCAAAGTAAATGCAAATCCTTATTGACTCAAACGAATATCTATGTCTATTTATCCATCTATTCGTATTTTTCGATCCTATATTTGATTCTATTCGATCCTATTGAGTTCTCTTCTATTCGATCCTATTTCGATTCTTTTCGATCCATTACGTTCCTATTCGATAGTATCGGCTCTGTGTATTCCAGAGAACATTTTCGTTGTGAGAGAATAAAGATATTTTTCCTGAACAGTTCAAATGATAAAAAAAGAAAAAAAAAAGGAAAGAGAGAGAGAGAGAGAGAGAGAGAGAGAGAGAGAGAGAGAATTCGTCTCTCTTTTTATTACATTCGAGAATACCATTCTCCTCGATAGTAGAACTTATAGCAAGGAATATCTGTCTCTCATGCGAAAAACAATTCATAAAATTTCTCTATAAATCGTATTCAATAATCGATATAGAAATTTCGATCTATTATTAGATTATAACAATGAGAATATCATATACAGATTTCTTTTACAATAATTAATTGAAACTATTACATAAAAGAAAAAGAAAAAAAAAAAAAAAGAAAAAAAAATTGTTCACGCGTACAGTTAATAATAACTTTAAAATTGTCTTGAAATATTTACGAAAAAATTTTTACGATAAATCCTCAATAAACTATTGTACGTGATAATAATTACAATGAGAGAGAGAGAGAGAGAGAGAGAGAGAGAGAGAGAGAGAGAGAGAGAGAGAGAGAGAGAGAGAGAGAGAGAGAGAGAAAAGAAAAAAGGAATTTCTATCGTGCACGAAAAAATGATAATTAATTATCAATAAACGATAACTTTTCAATATAATCGACGTTATATAGAAAGCTTATTAGACGACGCATAATATGGGATCTATTCTATGGAAGTCATTGCATAGCTGACAAACGTAGAGTATTAATATCACGTAACATGCCAATGTATTCGTGACCATTAATAAAGTCAATATAATCTCGTTGACATATATCAGCTGATATATTCGAAATAAAATTCAAGTTCAAGTTTATTTCTTCATTTGCCTTCTTTTTTTTTCTTTTTCTTTCCTTTTTACTTTTTTTTTTCTCTCAATTTATATCATATATTTATATTTAATTATTTTATATATGATGTTTATATACATATATATATATATATATATATATATATATATTAATTTATTAATATTTTTAATTGGGTATATGAAATAAAATAATCGACGTTATATAAAAAGCGTACTATAAGATGCATAAGTGTTATATACAACCACAACTGTTCTGCGGCGAAACTTAACCTAATTATACGGACAACCCGTTGGCATAAATAGGGGTGGGGGTGGGGGGGGGGGGGTGCTGGAACAAGTGTGGTGGTTGTTTCAAGGGGGTAGAAAGAACAAGAAAAAGAAAAGAGGGAAAAAGAAAAAAAAAATATATATATATATATACCAGGTAGCATAAAAATGTAGTTGCAATAAAGAGCATCATGTTGTTACGGAAAGGTTACGGAATTTTTTTGCTGAATTTCTTATAGCAAAAAGAAAAAAAAAACAAAAACAAAAACAAAAAAAATTATAATGCGTTTTAATAACTCGACATTAATAATAGAGAGAAAAGAGATGAAGAAATAATTGTCTTGATGATTTGATTTTTAATAATAATAAAAAAGAAAAAAAAAAAAAGAAATAATTAAGGAAATAAATTAATAATGAAAATTAATAAGAAAGGAAAAAAGAAACAAAGGGAAGACGACGGCAGAAAGACGAATTGAAAAATGTTAATAGACGAGAGAGAGAGAGAGAGAGAGAGAGAGAGAGAGAGACCTCTTGATGCACTCTTAAAGGTATCTACAGTTTTTCCAATCAACGAGAGACCGGATTTGCCGTTTAAGGGTTCGACGGAGGCTTTTATCGTGAACGACGACGCTTCGGTAAATTCATTTTAAAATCGGCTTAAAGGGACGGCCACCTTAAACGAAAGATTTCGATGGATGTATCAAGGTAATTGAGAAGCATTTTAAGGCTTTCTTTCTTTCTTTTTTTTTTTCTTTTTTTTCTTTTCTCTCTCTTTTAGGATTAAGTATATTCACACGGACTTGAATCTGACACACACAGTTCTCTCTCATATGGTAAAGGATTATACATTCTATCTCTTTCACTCCTTTTCATTCCTTATTCACTCATATATCCAGCCTACTTTTAGCCAGGCTAAGGTAGTAGAAAGGCTAAGATGAAAAAGTAGCCCTTTAATATCGTCTTACGGCTTCCTACGAAGGAACGGATGTACGCATGTGTGTATGTATGTATGTAAAGTAATACGAAAATCAGAATGAGATAGGTATAATTACAGAGAGATTATTTATTCGCAAAGAATGCATTATTACGAATAATCAAATTTGTTTTTCTTTTTGTCTCTTTTTTTCTTTTATTTTTTTTTTTTTTATCCTTTTTTGGTTTTTGTTTTTTTTTTTTGGTTATATATATATATATATATATATTTTACGTATATATACATATATCGTATATATACATTACGATAAATTTCTAACTTACTTTACATTTCATTTATCAACGATCAATGTCATAATAATGGATGTATACATTCTCTTTGTAAAACGAAACTCGACAAAGTCGATTCAAAAAGAAAGAAAAGTTTTTTTTGGTATTGAGATAAACTTTGAACGTTCAAAATCAATCTCAAATATCACGTCGTTTTCTGTCATCGAAGAATATCCACACACACATACACATATACTCGACCGCGCACGAGAAAAGAACTGGACTTATCGTCGTATTTTTCTGGCGCAAGATAGGACCACGGGGACATCGCACGTCGCCGTCGGCACCGCGTGCAATTTGTCACAGGTTTCTCGATAGCTTACAAAAAGAAAAACGAAAGAATCAGAAAGATAAAAAAGAGAGATAGAGAGAAAGAGAGAGAGAGAGAGAGATATTGCTACATCACATCAAAACATAATTAAAGATTTTATTGCAAGCGTAGATAATATACACGAGGAAAAAAAGAGAAAACTTGTAAAAGAGATATGAAAATATATATAAAAAAAAAAAAAAGATATTTATTCAAGATCATATATCAATGAAATTGTACGTATTGTTCTGGAAAATAGATAAAAGTTCTTATCCAGCCCCTGTATATAGACTATACCTTCTTACATGGACGAAGTAACGGGTTGCATAAAACAAGGGGCATAAAAAATTGCTACATTACCGACGATATACGAAGTGAAGCCTTTGCTCAGGCGTGACACACTTTGATTCTATGATAATCGAAGTGACGAGTATAAAAATCATACGCATCTCGATTATTTTCATTTGTTCTGTAAGAAAAAAAAAAAAGAAATAGATAAATAAATAAATGAAAAACAAGGAAAAAGAATATAGCTTCATCGATACACATAATCATTAATTAAAGATCAAAGAGAAGAAGAATCAATTATCATATAAAATTATCATATTCATCTACTTAAAGATAATGAATGAACGTCGGTCATTAAGATCGAATCGAAGTATGCTGCAAAATTATATTACTATAACTATATTTTATCAATAAATTGATAGTAGTCGCGGGAAGTAATGGTGAATTGGTTAGACGACGTATATCCCCAATGTAATACGCGAACAATGAAGAATACGAGATGATTGGAGGCCTGCAGCGACAATGCCTCCCCGTACTAAAGAGACTATAATATTCCTATTATGCCTACTACTGCTATTACTATTACTGGCTACTAACCACCAATCCAATCTTCCACCTTCCATTCTTTCCTTTTTCAGTTATCTTCCTTTCTATTCGAGAATTTTATTTGAGATTTCAATATCGTTATTATCATTATCGAAGGAAAGCTATTACGATATACGGATCCCTTAATCCCTTTCGTTCTACTTTCATCGAGTATATTTACATCGGGATTATACGTATCCTTCAGAGAAATATTAAAAAGAAAAAAAAAAAAAGGTTCCTCGTTATATGTCTTCGTGCGTAATCAAAACACAGACAATTTTCCTTTAACATTTTTATCGAAGCGTGTATACGCACACACAGATAATATCTTACCTATCCATTTATCTATCTATCTAATCTGACCTCATAAATATGTCAAGCTAATTAAATACCATCATGATAAAATTTCATAAGTATTAATGAAATTTTTTTATATATATATATATATATATATATATATATATATATATTTTCATAAACTCTACACATAAATAAATTTCCATCACGTATCCATCTTATTAAATGTTATATTACGTGCATTTTTCTTTTTCTTTTTCTTTTTCTTTTTTTTTTTTTTTCGTTACATAAAACTTTTATCAACAATCTTCATTCTCATTTCCATTATCATTTTCATTTTCTCATTGTTATTGCATTTATAATATTATTAATCGAAAATCCTCTTCGATAGATATTATATTGACTTTGGATAGAAGCCAACAAGGGTACCGCAGATATAACGAATGAAATTCATGTTTCACTATGGGAAACTACGAAATGTGCTTAATACTCTTCCATCTGAGTTTATATACTCTCTTGGTAATTTCCATACGAATTTCTGTGCACGTGCCAATTCGATTCAAGAATTTGTAACAATTACGATTATTAATATAAATGATCATCATGCTTTCTAATTCGCCAAATGAAATTTATGAGAACATTATCAATGAGAGAATATTTGTCGGTAATATGATTTAAAACAATAATAATAAGAATATTATATAAGCTCTAAATATAATTAATTGTCTATTTTATAATTAATATAAAAATTATTTAATTAACGTTTCATATTATTATTATTATTATTATTATTATTATTATTATTGTTAATCGTCGTTATTGTTATTATTATTATTGTTATAATTGATTTTCAATTACGAAATATTTCCTTTTTTCTTTCATTTTTTTTCTCTCGAACGAGCTTTACCTTGATCGTAGAGAAACAAAAACGAAAAAAAAAGGGAGAAAAGATTAAAAAGAAAAAAAAAGAAAAAAGGAAGATCATCTTAAGAAAAAAGAAATTCATCTTAATTTCGTTCATATTTTAATCAGAAGAATTTCTTCTTTAATTTGTTCATATTTTTGGGATCTATTCGTTCCTTTCTCTTAGGAAAAAAAAAAAAAGAAAAAAAGAGGGAGCACAGACAGATTGTCCCTTATAGGGGGACAGGGGGACGAGGGAACAGGGACAGAGGGCTTTGAAAAGACAGAACGGTCGGTGAACGACATATTAGATTAACGATTTAATGGATAACTCGATGAATGACTCTCTATGTATGGTGCGTGTCGGTGCGTAAATTGAACAAATTATAGAAGAATGCCTTTGGTGTTGAGGGACACCCTGTATGCCCCTATAAATATGCAATCGTACGTATACGATGCCATAAATGGCATTATCCATCTCAAACGATCCAAAACGAAATTTTTATTCTCTATCCTTACGTCCATCTCTTTTATTACTTTGTTATTTTTATCATATTGTCTAAGCTATTACTATAATTTAACATTTTATCGCATTACATTGTTTATCAATCTTTACAAATTTATATTCTAAAATTATTTTATTAATATAACATCAAAAAAAAAAAAAAAAAAAAAAATAAGAAAAAAAAAAAAAGAAAAGGGAGAAATTTATATTACTTCGTAATTTAATAAGAGAATTAAATTTTCTTTACAATTCTTTATATTAAAGTCATATAATATTTATTTACTTATTTATTTATTTATTTATTTATTTATTTATTCATTTATTTATTCGTTAACGACGTTTTAATTATATCAATTAATACGTGAATAATTTTTTTTTTCTATCACATCATAATTTTCTTTCATTAAATTTAATAAAAAGAAAAATAAATTCTTTTGTATTTATATTGTATATATATATATATAATTAACAAAATTATTATTTAAATGTTTAAGTAAATCACGTATTTTTCTTTTTTTTCTTTTTTGTGATACACTTAAAGAAAACTTTAAATACTAATAAAGTAACTAGATATTATAATGAAAGAAAGAAAGATAGGAAGAAAGAAAGAAAGAAAGAATGAAAGAATGATGTTATTCTTAACGGCGTGTAACATGAGCATCTCTAAATCGCACAATGAACAAGTGGTCATAATTACAAGAGCAACGTAGCCTCTCTACTAAATTCTCGCACGCATTTGTGAATATGTGTGTGTATGTGTGTATGTGTGTGTATGTGTGTATGTGTAAGAATAAGATCGAATGAGAAGGGATCTCTCCCCATCTTGAAAGGAAGATCAGTGTCTACTGAAAAGTCTCAGAGATCGCACGCGAGATATTATTATTATTATTATTATTATTATTATTATTACTATTATTATTATTATTATTATTATTATTATTATATAAATTAAATTTTTAATTGTTTTGTGTGTTTGTGTGTGTATCTTTCTCTCTGTCTATGTGTGTACGCGCACGCGCGCGCGTGTATGTATATGTGCATGTGTCCGTTTTATACTACAACTAATATCAAAGAAAAATATCTTCGTTGATTTTACGATCCATCTTCTTTCGATCGATACATCGATCGAAGATGACAACTATTTCTTGGATTATCTGCTTGTTCGCAATAGGTATGTTAAAAAAAAAAAAAAAAAAAAGAAAAAAATAAAAAAAAAAAGTAAAAGTAAAGAAAGAAAAGAAAATAGAAAAAGAATGAATTATTTTTAAATATGATAAATCTATTCATATTTTCTATGTTTTCTTGAAAGATCTTATAGATCATTTTATTGATTGCACTGAATTACTAAGAAAAAAGAAAGAAAAAAAAAGAAAGACAAAAGATAGTATCAATGATTAAATCATGACAATAGATATTATTAATGATTAAATCAATAATATAACTTAAGCAATAACATAAATTAAAAATCGAAATATTATTAAAGAAATTTCTATGACATTAATGCGATTGTATACTTTGTATTTAATTAAATAATATACAAAAGTGAACGTGAGAAAAAGAAAAAGAGAAAAAGAGAGAGAAAGAGAGAGAGAAAGATAAAGACTATTAAATTCATTATTTAAGATAATAAGAAATTTAATCATGATATTATCACAGGGAGTAGCGTATTAGTAATAATTTAACAAGTTTGAAATTAACAATACACTCGGGATAAAGTTAGTTTGTTGGTTGTTGAGTATTTTGTCTCTATGTGCATAAAAAATTAATGTAATTATAATAAGACACCGGTACTGTATAATTACAGTAATAATGTACAATAAAACAATAAAATTATTTTTGAAAAAGGAAAATCGTTTGTTTCGTTAATATTGTTGTATTCGCAAAAAAAAAAAAAAAAAATTTTTTTCATTAATTATTAATATAGATCTAATAAAACTTTGTCGCACAATATGACTTAGATAAAACGTTCATCCAATTGAAAATGTTTATAAATTTTTTATATAGAAAATATAAAAGAAATTCAACGAAATATTAATAAAAATTAGCCTAACTTATTTTTTCTTTTTCTTTTTCTTTTTTTTTTTTCTTTTGTTTTTTGTACATACAATTTATGAAAAAATTTAATTTCCAATAAAACGTTATGTCGATTGATTTTGTAATGAGGATAGAGATATGAATCGATTAATGATATTTGATAATAAAAATTAAAAAAAAAAAAAAAAAAAAAAAGATAAGATGCCTCGATCATTATATTATATTTATTCATTTCGTTTGTTTATTATTAGGAGGAGTTCACGCAGCAATGAATCAAGGTTTTACGAACCATCCGACGGTTGTAAAGGTCTTTAAAAATGACTCGGTTTTGCTACCATGTGATGTGCAAGATCTCGGTGAGTAAATAGCGTAAAATCGCTCGTTATAATACAAACCCGCATATCCGGAGAAAACTTTTCGAACAATTTTATTCAAAGACTATCAAATAATAAGGAGAATTAAGAAAAGTATTCTCAATTTGTTATATATATATATATATATATATATATATATATATGTATAATTGTATAATTAATTCTATTTTACAAATTATTTTTATATAAGAAGAAAAAAAATTTAATAAATATATAAAAAAAATTATTATTATTATTATTATTATTATTATTATTATTATTATTATTATTATTATTATTATTATTATTATATTTATTTTGTTATAATTAAATGAAAACATAAGAAAAAAATTGAATAATTTTAATTATTAATAGTATTGTAAAATTAAAAATGTTATTAACTGCTATAAGAAAAAAAAAAAATATATATATGTATATATTGAAATTATTATGCTTTATATATATATATATATATATTCTTTCGTTAGAAAATATTATTCGAAA